ATTGGTCAGTATTATTTAAATATTTATTTCATTGAATAATTGAATACTTTGAATTGAATTAATAAGAGTAGAAAAAGATCTTTTAAAAAAAAGATACTACTTTCAACTTTTATTGTTAAAAATTTTAGAAGCAAGTACCGACGCTATATGCGCTTTTTTTGAAATCTTGATTTGATTTACTGTCTCTTCATCGAAGCAAGAGACATAATCGATGAATGAAGTTAAACTTCATTTATTATTGAACACATTAGAATATTCATGAAACGTTTTATGTAATGCGATTACCAGAAAACTTAAGACTGACTTAAGAAACATTCAGTAAGTTGTATTTTATCATTTTTTATTATTTTATATCATTCACTCTATAATATGACAACTGCGTTAGATTAATATACACGCTGGCTTATAGTTAAAAAATTTTAAAGAATTTATTTTTTCATCTATTGCTACATAAATATGTATATATAAAAAGATTTTTGTATTAGAATTGCTTCGACACATTTTGATTTCTTCTAGTACAGTATAAAGTACTTCTATTTCTAGTACAATAAAATATGAAAGAGAGAACAATGAGATAATATATAACTCTATAAAGAGAAAAAAACGTCCCATCTTAGTATTGTGAATATTAATTCATTTATCACGTTACATCTCAACTATATTGGATAACGCCGCAATTCGAGATAATGATGATGAAGATTCTTGCGAAAAGTTTGACCCTCGATGCTATTATCGAGGAAAGATACGTAAAATTGGCAAAATGTAGTGGGAAACAAGTAATTTCACTCACCGTAGAATTCGGCATGCATCGCCTCGGCGGCGGCGGCATTGGATCCGGCGCGGCACGATAAGGCGGCGGCGAGTATCTCCCTGAGGGAAAGCATCCCGGGGCGGTGATCGGTGCCCCGTGGAGTCCCTTGCTCCCCATCATCTTGTCCGGCGAGTACATCATTCTGCGTGCCGCTAAGCCTATCCCGGCTTAGGGGTCCGCGGTTGATTCCCGAATCGGTACCCTCAGACGGAACGATAAGCGTGACACCAGCAGCGACGGCTGCGCTTCTTGCTTCCAAGACGCATTCGCATCTGTGTGATCAAATTGTCTGGATGTCGAAGCGTGATTTCAAATAGAGTACGTTGTTCACACCGTTCACGTTTTCACCGTGGAAAGTGAGCCGAATCGAATGGAGCCACGTCCAGTCGAATCGTTTAGAACGCACCGATACGATAATCCGATATGATTAAAAGATCTCAGCATCAAAAGATCTCCACGATGATGCACCCACTTATCGTCGGTTTCGGCCGAGAGATCAGTCCATCTGTAAAGCGACGGAAAAGATTGGAGATCCGCGACTCCACATCTCGATCGTCAGTTTAGACTGGACACTGATGGAACATCACTGTTCGCATAACTACACAGTCAACTAAGAAACTGTGTGTGTTATTACCGATGACAACCAACGATGATCACCAACGATCGCGTATTCGCGAGCACCTTCCTTTCCACGAAACTAAGATCGATTGCACCGCTACCAGACACTTCACTCGATGTTCACCAGGGTCCACCCTACGGTTCAACGTTCCCGCCAAAGAAGAGCCGCCGGAAACCGATTGAGGCGATCCACTGAGCGATGAAGTCACCAAATTTTTCGTGTCCCACAAGACTCCCGGGGTGACACCGGTGGAGGGAAAGAGACGGAGCACCGGTTCGTCACTGCCATATACAAGGGTTTAAAGATTACGCGCAGGGTAGGACACGGACTCTTGTCCCGAAGCTCTGCACTTTTTGGCGCTGACTGGCCAGCGAGGAGCGTTTCGCGGATGAACTCTTCCAGGGGGATGGTAGGAGCGCTGTCCGTGTACGTGGTACTGGTGGGGTTGCAGCGGGGGTTGGTGGTCCTGGATGATGCGGCAGCGTGGCGCTTGCCCACGATGCTAGGGTTCGCACTCATGTACGGGAGGGAGAGCAAAGGGGGTGAGCTCGGTATCAGCCAGCAAAACGGAGAGCTTCGCCGAACGGGGGCGGAGCCTCGCGCGGTTACGCTTGCGCCCCTAATCTCATGCATGTCGGCCATCTTTGCCCTTGCTTTCAGGCCTCGCATGGGTGTCGCTAACCGCGACCACCCGTTTGTCCATCCTTCCCCGCGTGTATTCGTCTCTGCGTAAGTGTATGTGTGCGTCATCCCTTCACC